TCTACCACCTTGTAGCTTTGGTATGATTGGCCTGTGTTCAGTTTATGTCGATAGCAATGTCTCTAGAAGATCATTTCAACATACATTGTAGTTTCCGCGAAGCTGTGAGGGAAATGTGGCGATCGCTCTAAGGATCAAACCTTGTTCATCATTCTGGTCTGCATCATTTTTCACCCAATCAATCACAGTGATCCGTGACGTTATCGATACAACCTGTTGAAGCTTACGCTTGTGTTTGTTGACAAGTTGACGTCGTGATCGTCATTCTCATCTTATTAATGTTTCTTCTCTCTCCTACGTCTTCATTGTCGTCAAGTTTCTCGTCATCGACATCGCCTGTTAGGACATTATCGCCGGCAGTGCGTGCAAAAGTAGCGATAATTGGAGATGGAGAGCTTAATGTCTCTACACTAGCTGAGTTCACCAAAAAGCACTAACACAGTCAGACTTAAAATGATAATGACGCCAAATTACTGTACATTATATGAGTTACAAATTTTGTCAAGTCCTTGCGGAGTCCGTACTATTTCTCGACCTTCACACGACCTTACAAGACCCTCTCAGTACATTTATTAATGTGGACTGTACTAATTTTGAACGCACACTAATTCCCAATCTATACCAATTACGGTCAACCATGTAGTGCTAATTCGTTCTGCAACTTTTACGATCAATCAGCTTTGCAATACTCGCCATGAAGCAAAGTCTACCGTCAAATCGTGCCAAACCCTTTATACTAACATAGTATTATATCTAGCAGCAATTGCCGTCGTTGGTTGGAGTCAGCTGTACAATCTTCGTGATCTTATTTTCTGACACATTTGCATCGCCGAAGTCAGGATCTTCACGACCTCACAACGTAATCAGCACAAAAACACGGAAAGAACCACAATACGGAACCTTGGAACTAGCAGGTCACGGGATATCGTAGTCACTACAGCTTATTTTTCAAGGCGGCACATTTATTTTGCTTAATTATGCGAGTACGCCTCGAAAAAGCACTTTTGCAGACGACAAAGACCTAAATGTAGCGAGTTTACTTGTGTCATTGCAAATTTTAGGCCTACCAGGAGGTAGAAGAACTGGAACTAGTAGTATTCGGTGCGGCGATCATGTATTTGCAGCATTTCTCATGATACGCATCATTTTAAGTTCGACTCGCACACGATTTCTTGTGCTGTAATTTATACATGCACGCTGATTTGTTTCTAAGTAAGCACACGAGCACTTGCGATTATGCTATGTTCACAAGTAACTCGTAAGTTTTTATTTCACATTAGTTTGATACATCTATACAAGTTCAATCCATTTCTTTTCTTGAAGAACGCAGAATAGTACTTAGACTATTCCTTCACTAAAGGCGACATACCCGAGTTCAGCTTTTGCATGATGTAATCGGAGCTATAAAGCAGCTCCAATTTGAATATCGGCATCTCATGTAGTTTCTACTCAAGTTCCAAAACACTGTGACCCATTACCTTGCTTATAGAAGCAGGAGTCCTCGATCAGTGTCACTACCATCATTTTGCAAAACATAACTCAGTATTTCTGCAGTTATAAGGTGCTTTTTGGTAAACAAAGCGATTTATGTATTATCGTATCAACAACCGTAGACTCCAACGTACGCACCACGAACGATGTATTGTCCGGGATCTTTATCTTCGTAAAAATTTTGTCAACGATAAACCCAGCATTTACCCAGCCTACTATCAGCTCGGTTTGTGTTGAGATAACTAGTTTCTTATTGTTGCTTTCATCCTTCGTAGAGGACAACGTACGAGCGAGAACGTACTCGCTACAAAAGCCTTTCACCAACACTTGCAACATTTCCGTGGTCCGCGTTGAAACGAATGATGAAAAGGTGCAAAGCGCGAAGGTTCAATTTCATGAGAACATCGACCCCGTCTTTTTCACCTGAAGACGCGAGAACACTACATCGAAAGAAAGCTTAGCAGTAATTTAGCCATCTTCGCTTCCACCTCCTTCACCTCCTGAATTGTAAAGGGGTCACACTAGCCATTGGCTAAATTGTTTAAAGCCATCCCATAAATGATATGGGTGAATTTGTGTGACCTTAGATTTTATATCAGCAAGAGAATATCGATTGATCGATATTTCCAGGTTTACGGTACTTACCGTGTACGTACTTTGTACCGTCATCATTTGATGACTGAGTGATGTTCCAACCATCCAATCAGTTCGAATACTAACATTTGTATTAGTTCCAGTTTAGTAGAATATAGGGTACTTAAAGTGGGATTTTCCTTGATATAAAATCTAAATAAAGTTCGGTTCTCATTTTGAGCAGAAGTCCCTGGACCCCCCCCTTTCGCACACCGCGCCCTGCAGTTCCTTAGAACTGCCGTAGCTTAGAGACTCCTTAGACTCCTACTCCCCTGTACATTGTGCTTGTGGTTCTCTAGAACTACACAGCAATTGAGCTGTTAGCTCGTAAAGGTCCACCCGAGTTCCATAGAACTGGGTGACTCTTATATTTAATACATTAGTTCCGTAGAACTAATAGGCTGTCAGCCGTAAGCCGTTGGCTTGTTAAATAAGTCCTCCTCTGACTTTATGGGGCTGTGTAGCTCCTCTACATGAATCTTCTGAGCGGTTAAATCTTGTTTAGTAAGCTTATCACTGGATTCGTTCCGCGGCATACCACCTTCTACCGTCATGGGTTTGCCGAAGATCGGTTGTTTTGGGAGCTTAGACATTTGCGCCGGAGTTCTTGGGGTCTTGGCTGGCAAGAATCTTGGAAGCTTGAACATCCGCGCCGGGGATCTTGTGTGTTGGTAGACAATAATTTCGGAAACTTGAACATCTAGTCCATCTTTGAAATGCTTGAGAAGTTCGGCAAAAGCTGAAGGATTCATGGATCTGACGTAACCAAGCATCACCTCTCCTTTCGGGTTCGAGACTTCACCCGCTCGTGCTGCTGTTGCTTCAACGTTGTGCATGCTCATCATCCTATATGTGTTATCCGTGGCATGGCTCACTTTCAGTAGCCGCTTGACAGACTTTGCGCCGATTTTCTAAGCCTCAGAACGAAGTGCAGTCTTAGAACTTGCGTCGCACGTCAATACTGCTGTAGAAATCAGGAGTATGGACGGCGCGAGTCGCGTGTTGATGCACGGTCTTCCTTGGTTACGCTATGGAGTGATAGCAACGGCGTAGATTTCGTAATGACCGATATTGGATGCCACAAGAGTCGTTTGATCAAGTAGCAATGTACTTGATGTACAGCACCAGTTGACAAAGTGAGATGTCCAAGATACTGTTAGAAGTGTAGTCGGTATAGCGGACACTCCCTTCCGGGTCAACGCCCCAGCTGCCACGTTTGGCAGTTATAGTGGGTAATTAGTGGTTACATTAAGTTTTAAAAGGTATTCTTAGTTTGGTTAGCGCATGACACATAATGATCTCATTTCTAAATTGGATAAGCGACTGACGAGACCACCGGCCGGGGTCGAAACGCGTTTTAAATTAATAGTCTTTTACCATACTTTCTCAATTCCCAACACACACACTATGCGGATCGCGTCGTACCAGTTACGGCCGCTGATGGAAATCGTCTGGAATCCACTCATTCTAGGACTATCCCACGAAACACCTTGTCTCCCTCCAGACCAGCAACCTGTAGCTCTTTCGCGATCATACGTGCCAAAGGCGACGTGCATGTAAATGCTATGCAGGACTCCTTTCCAGTTAGTTGTCCTTTACAAAGCTATAAGATTCGGTAGGCCTTCGATTTCAGTCCACCCACCTTGTTCTACGCCGGCTAAGGTAGGTTCTAGTCAAAACAAAATTATACCTTAGTAGATCAGGACTTTGTACGACTTTGGCTTTGTTTAGCGCAATAGGATGCGTACAAAACACTATACTAGCATTCAATATGATCATGTTGTTCAGTGTCGATTAACCCACAAAGACTTATATTACGCTACTGACACTAAATACTACGAACACTGACAATACGGTGCTCCCTCTGGTAACGTTGCCCCCGATAAGTAATGACCTCCGCAATATTTTAGGATTGGACGTCCACTGGGGTCGTTCATTTGTTTTCCTATGGGCGCTAACTTAAGATAGGGGCAGCTCTGGAGATCACCCTTTGATCTATGTAATCCAGTTCGGAGAACCGAATCGAGATGCAAACCGCTGCACAACAACAGTCACTATAGAGTGAGTATGATGCAATTTATGCTTATGTTATTGCAGCTCAGTATACTCAAGCAACAATTCAGTCTTTGCTTGTGAGCGTCCAACATTTGATTTCGTGATCATACTCACCTCTGATCGATTATAAGCCAATCACAAGCGTGTACCACAAAATAGTGACCTCGCCAAGTGACTTCGAATATGCCTATAAGGGGGACAGGTTTGATCGAACTTAGTTTGTGTAAGCGGTTAGGTGCGGCTTACCGTTTACACGTACTAAACGCACACACACAGATAAGTACGATTTAAAAGCTCGGCATTCAACCTTGCGCACACTCACCAATAGCTTTACCCTTCAGGCTCGCAATTGTAGTGCTAAGTTAAATTAAAATGCAATCGGACATGTAAACTCTCGATTGTTTCATGTTGAAGTCAATGCGGGGTGATTGGTTTGTCTCAATGTCTTGAGGTGTGATGTTACAGGATGAGGGCTTACGGACGTTTTACGAGCGTTATGTAGAGCTTGTGAACATAGTTTCTACTTCAGTCAGGGTAGTAGTAAATAAACATGGACACCATGACACCTTTGCATGACCGATACAATGACTTGCATGGGCAAGCGCCGCAATTTGTTGACCACTTTCCATTCCGGAATGGTCAAGAACTCACCATGTTACAACTGCGCTATCATTTCCAGTGTGTCAAAGTAGCGCTTTTCCGATATTTGTTAAATATATTGAAGCCATCTAGCGAGAGCTTATAGTGCTGATGCACGAATCGAAGTGCAAAGATGTCCAGCGCGAGAAAACTTGTCAAATGCTGACTAGCAGCAGTTTTGGTTACTCAATTCGCATCCGTTTCCAAGCAGGACCGTCACTGCAATCCGCAAGCTCTGGGGCCTCGATACTGATACTGTCGCTTGTGTTAGGGCTTGCCATACCGTCCCAATCAGCACTTGCGCGAGAGTCATCGTCACGTGGGCGCTTTACTCGCAAACCCCAGTCTCGTCGTCGACTCTCAACCTGTCGCGGATGTGGCGGGAAGTCCATACCGTAGAACTTTCCACCACAAAGTATCTGCTGCGACTCATTTCTGAACTGTTCTGGGTTCTCATGCAGCTGCTCGGCTGCCGCCGTATTGAGAACGTAATCGACGCCAGGTTCTAGGAATATCAACTAAACGAAACAGTGCAGAGCCGAGAGACCAACATGAAACATAGCAGTCAGTATCCAACTGACACTGCTACGATAGAGTCAGAGTCCTTACCTGCAATCCGAGCAAGACCGTGTTAATGCTAAGCACGGGGCACCAGTCCTTACCCAGAATCGACATCATGACTTTGCCCGTTGCCATGTCGATATTCGGATGCCATACCCTGAGCACAAACACAAAAGCATCAAGCAGCAAGTAAACTCAAATCGTCATTACGTAGCTCTAACAACAAACTGACTAGTATGATTTTTACCTGGTCAAACACGTCACGCTGGGAGCTGTGCATGCCACAATCGAACATCAAGATCACAACACAACAGAGCCCAACGCAGCAGTTTATCAGCACAAAGTTCCACACGCACACATATACAACTGTGAAAGAAAATCCCAAGTTCTCCTCTCCCCCTCTCTCGCTATATTTCTACATCACCAGCATGACTCACCATGAAATGGGTACGTCCTGGGAATCTCCACAAAAAACGTAAAGTCGCCATTTGCAAACGGACCCGACACATCAGCAATTGAGATGGTAAAGATCAACTGCAACATGTTGTCCGCTCCGTCTGGAAAGTCCACGCGGGTCTTGGCTTGACTGCAGGTAAACTTGGCTTTCGACAGCTACAGAACCACCAATCAGCAGCAAAAATAACACACACAACAGCAGCTCAGTCTTCTCTTCAATAGACTGTACCCAATGTCAAATTGTATCCAATAGACCGCCCGCTACGCACCTCGTTCACGTCTTTCCGCACCCGTAACGCCGCAAAGTCCGACCGCATGTACATCGTCCGAAACGCACACGAAAACAGACGCTCTGATGACGTAACTTTCGGCCGTTGTAGAGCTTTTACGCTTCTCGTGGTCGCTGTGGTGACGACAGTGACTGGGAGGCAGTCGCTGGGTCGTTAGCCGTCACTAGAGACGATCACTCCGTCGGCGTCTTACAGCTGGTGCGAACGGCGTCGTTTTGGAAACTCAAAGAAGTCGTTGATTGGTGGATATGCAACCAATTAAATTCGGATTATTAGCCAATGAAATATTGTATACGATCCCAAGTCCACGGAAACAAACGTTACCAGACAAAGGTGATGTCGGCAAGCGCTGGAGACGCGGCGGCTCCCGCCTTGCGCAGTCGTCCGCTCCTGCATTATAAGGACTTGGGACTGAGCACGCAGAACCGAAAAGTTCTCTTTACTTGTGTGCACGCGTCCGAGAACTTTCTGGCCTGTGGGTACGTCGTGCATGAAATCGATGCGTGCGGACAAGGAGTGATGGTCATCGTGTTTCCCACGTACTGATTTAATCGAATGTTTGTTTCTATTTGTATTTGTATTTGTATCAGATCGAATACTGGCAGTGTCTACTTATACGCGACGTCAGTGCTCAGTCGTAATGAGCACGACAGTCGCGTGTCTTTGGCTAAGTACCACCTGGTCAAGATGATTACGCCCCCAAGCAACGATCGCGTACCGGTCGCGTGTCTCAGCATCTGTCCCCAGCAAAAACGTCTCGTCGTCGGCACCAAACGCGGCGTCGTGTACGCGCTACAGCTCGCCGAGTACCACAAAATCGGCGAGAAGATCGAGTTCTCGCACGACTTTCACAAAGGGTTCCCCATTACCTGCTTCCTATGGGACAAGCGAGGCGCTCGACTCTTTTCGGCCTGTAATGCAGGACTAGTGTGTCAGACGGTGCTGCGTGCTGGCATGTCAGCGCTCTTTGGGAGCACGGATACGGAATTGCTGCTGAAAGAAGAGACGGGGATCGTGCAGGTACGATGATGTTAATGCTCCACGTACTCTGTGGACGCTCTTTTGCTGTTGCTGCTACTGCTGTTGCTGCTACTGCTGTGTTTATGCAGCTGTATACTGACCTGTGTACTGCAAAAAACAACTGGGTGATTGGTGCAGCTAGATTTGGCACGAAGCGGGTCGTCGCAGATCCTGATGGTGTCGTCGCAACTTCGGGTGTTGCTGTTGAATCTGTCTTCTGAGCACGAGAGTGCAGTGCAAATTGGCACAAAAGCGCGACAAGGCGCGTATGGCGCGTGTTTCTTCACGAGCCTCAATGTCGAGTCAATTGATCCAACCAAGAAACGCGAAATCAAAGTGTTCTCGTCGCGACCAGGACGACGCGTGTGGGTTGCCGATCCGCAGTCCGGTACGGTGTCATCAACGCTCAAATTCTCGCTGACGAAGAGTCCGACACTGTTTCTGCAAAGTCCAAAGTGTGCTATAGAAGAAGGTAGGTCCTTTTGGTATGACGTGGTAAACTTGTGCGTTGAGGCATGTTGGAAACGCGGATGTTTTGTGTCGCTCACTGCTGATGATGTTATTTATCAGAAATCCAACCTCGAGATTTGTCCATTAATAAGCTTGGTCGCTTTCAGTTTTTGCAAGGTCCTTCTTATGCACCACAAGATGTCAGAGACGCGACCACATTGCTGGTGAGTTGGAATGCTGGATCGCGCGTGTTATTTTTTCTCGACCCTCTTGGCGTAGAAATTGTCGAGTGGCACCTAGACCTAGGTATTATCCACGACCTGACGGTATGAGACTGCTGTGGAGCAATCGTATACTTGTGCTGATTGCGTATATTGTCCGACTAGATCGTGAACGAAACCACGTTGGCAGTTCTTCACGGCGATGCCCCAAAAGTGTCGTTGATCCAGTCCTGTTCAGCAGACCAATTTCTTCAGATCTACGGTTCGGACGATGTGAAGAAGGCTGTTGAGGTAAGTGTCACATTGAGGAGTAGGTTTGGTTGTGGTCTGAGATCTTTTTTGTGTGGTATAGCTTGCAGTCGAGTTCAACTTCAACGACGCTGCCGTCGTGACCTCTCTACACACTCAGTGGCTGGCCCACCTTGATAATGTTAGCACCAGACCCGTGGAGTATGACGAGTTGACGAAGTCTCTGAAGGCGCTGGTGGATCAGACAAAGGCACTTGAAGAGAAGTATAGGATGGCAGTTCAGGGCGGTCTTTCAGCAACTAATGATTTGGAGCTCGAGCCTTTGCAAGTTATATACAAGCAGCGTCCGCAGCAAGTAGTAGCTGTGGTTACGGCCGCTTCATCTGATTTATGTTCCGGCCAGGAAGAGCCGAGGGATGCAGAAGTGACGTTGACAACGGGCAGCGCTCTGCACAAGCCGATTGAATATTTCGATGTACTTGCACCTGCTACTCCGTCCTACTCTAAAAGTGTCTGCACACCCGATGGTTCCTTTTTGGAGGCTAGGCTAATGAATATTCCCGTACTGCCACCAACAAGCTCTGTGCTTGAAGACGATTTTCGTGAAAGTTACATGGAGGAGATTATGGAGGAAGTTAAGCGATCCGAGCAAATGCGAAGTGAGGAAGGTGCTAGGAATATGAGCCTTTTGCCGACAATTAGGGATGGGTCGACGGCAGCCGTGAAGGCATTTTCGACGTATATCCCGGGTACCAGTATGCTCACGCATCTTATGGATGGATCTAGGATCCCAGTTTCATTTGGCCGCTCAGATGCGTCCGGCCTCTTTAGTGCCTTCCCCGAATTCGATAATGATGAGTTAACGATCGACCCAGACCCGCGTTTGCTTCAGGCAAGGTACACTCATGGCTATAATTTAGATGCTGACGCAAATGAATACTCTGTGCTGCGAATCGCTATGTCTACGATCGGAGAAGCAGATGAAAGCAATGTGGACACAGAGGTTCTTTTGGAAGCGATCTCGATGGACATTTGGGATTCAGACCTTAAGTACACGTCGAACTTACCGATTGGCGAACAATTAGATCTCCCTCAGAACACAGAAGATGGAAAACATATGAATGGGCGCATACTCGCTGGACGAGATGCCCATGCAAACAGATGTGCAGATGATGCGAAACGTGGACGGGACGTTTCACCGCGCGCGGAAGGATCGGATCTGCTCGAGAACTTGCACGTACAAATGCCAATATTAGCAGCACCGTCGAACAATGACTGCACCCCCATTGATAAATCCAGTCAACTTCTCGAGCACCGATCATTGGCGTCTACAGATGAAGTATGCGCGGCTCAGCGCGCAATTCAGAAATACTTTGGAGCCCCTTCAAGCTGTGAGGTTAAGATTAGATGTATAGTTGGTGGCCGGATGGCTGTATCATCGGAATTGGAACCCACCGTTCGACGTGATATCAGCGAACTAACTTCAGAGCTCCACGCGGCTTCTGCTACAGCCGAGAAAACAAAACATCTGACACGGAGATTGTGGCCGGCGTCTGGCATCACACGAGTGTGTGCATGCCTTACGAGCGTATACTTGCTGCAGGGTGATATGGCTCACGTACAAACGACAATAAAAGCGTGGTTAAGCTGCTTCGACCCAACTGCACAACATGCCGAGGCCGACGACTGTATGGAAGATAAAAACGTGCGCCCGAATAAGGTGGTAACTACTGGATTTGCCCGCGGCGAGGCGCTTGTAGACGGCGATGGCTTGCCGCTTACGAGAGGAGATTGGAACTTAGTGCGAGCGTTGGTGTCCATATATTTTGCTGTTTGGGCCGCAGGGTCGAAGCTGCATCTGCACCCTGTAAGCCCAAAAGCCCAAGCTGGTGGCAAGGTTTGTAGATTGTACGAAAGTGAGATGGGGATTACTTTAGTACTGGAACCGCGCTACAATTGGGACAACGAGGTAGAAGACTCCCTGACTAATTCAGCCACAGCCGATGAAGCTGAGGCATTTGTAACCAAGTACGGCGTGTACATTAATCCGGAACTAGCCGCTGAAGTCTGTAATCTGCGGCGATTCACAGGTGCGCTGACAACTGTGCTAGATGGCGTTGTATCCAGCGCTGACATGGCGGATATTTATAATGAGATTGTGGGATGGATATCAGAGAAGGAGATTGACAAGGCTGTTTCGGCATTGAAAAAGCATGACTCGTTGTGCCTGCTACTCGACTTACTCGACATTTTATTGAAGAAGTGTCCGCAAGAGACAATTGACATATGCGTATGCAAGTATCCCGTGTTATATCCGTGGAACGTCGAGCGAGCTCTGTTCGGGACAGAATTGGACTGGGAAGCAATTGTTGGAGGGTTAGATGGTACGCGTGAAATGTTGCTACCGAACGCTGTAGCCCAGACGTCGACGTATCTTCGATATCTCGTACGGCTTCTTGAAAAGAGAGGTGACGAAGCTGGCAAAGACGCGCAAGTGGTAAGACGCTGTTTGGACTTGTGTTTTGCAAGCAATGCCGTGTTGGGAGACTTGTTTGATCACAATGAAAGGCATGGCCGCCTGGAGTGGATTGCGGCGGTTGTCCGCCAACCTGATCGGTATGTCTACGACCACGCAGAGTGCTGGGACATGTTCACGAAATACAATGCGCTCCTTCCTCTGTTAGAGTTGACAATGCTATCGTTGCAAGGCGGATGCGACGTGACAATGTTTGACCGAGGAGTAACTGAACTGCGTGCGCTTGTGGCATTGATGGCGGAATGCAAGGATCTGCTTGCTTTCGAGAAACTGGTGGGTAGAGTGGCCGGACTCCCACACAACTCCGAACAATGTTTATGCGATGTTTTGAACCAGATTCAAGGATACGTGTCTAATGAGAATCGCCATGAGCCGTTGTGCTCTGCGGCTGTTCACGCTTTGCTGAACTCAGTAAATCTCGATGTCGGCATGCGCCTCCTCGGCCGATTTCCTTCGTTGTTTAGTACCATACCACTGCAAACGTACTGCACCATTGTTGAGACACATGTGCTCACTGAGCGACAAAAGCATGAAGTCGTTCGAATGTTGGAGATCGTGGACTCGAACGTGTGGGCGTCATATAAGGAAGATGTGTCAGCCACCAGTTCGGTGTCTTTCGCACCCCAGCTTGCTGCTATTTTGCAGCTTGAAATGGATGCGCTTGTTCCGGCGCTAAATCAAGAGCAATACGAGATGTGGGAAAGTAATTGCAAGCAGTGTGATAATGGGAGGGCAAGTCATCGGTTACGAGAAGTTGATGATGTTGGGATAAATAACACCAGGTTGCTGCGCACGTTTGGTAACGACCAGAACAGTGAGAAGTCCCGTACTGCATCGGGTACGGTGCCGATGGCTTGTCGGTCTTTTGAGTATCGGAACAGTGATTGGGGAGATGAAGTGCAGTTGCATGATTCCACTTGTGCAGCTTGCGAGCTTCCAGTGGTGATTGTTCAAGATGGTACGTGCTGCGTTGAGTGTTTGTTGTTGTAGTTTTGGCTACGACAGCTGATTGTATTCTGTACAGACAACCGCAGTTTGGACGTGGTATTACTACCGTGTGGGCACGCATTTCATGACGATTGTTTGGATGACAAATCGTGTCCGACTTGCTTGGAAGCAAACTTGGAGACTCTGAACTGGTGCTGAGACGTACGGAGGTTAAGCAGATGACAAAGGTACAAAATGGGTTTATTACAGACCACGTGTGCATGTGCTAAGTAGGCTTAATGACGATGTGTGTAGTATGACAGCTGATACGAATGACCGCTTGAGATGTATCGACATAGCTCCCCACATGCAACTGGTCCACGAACTTTACGCACTTGCAGTGATCCTTTCTGGATTTGTCAATACTTACAAATGCACCAGTGAAACTTTTAGGTCCAACAATTACACATTATCCATCAGCACGACAAAAATACCGACACGAGGCACAAAACTGCATAAAAAGATACTTGTACAAATCAAACCTCAAAGTCAACCATCTTTCGAACTCGGTACTCCTACTACACCTATCTAAGCGCGTACCAATCGTTCTCAAGCTGTTCAGCACGACAAAAAATACCGACACGAGGCACAAAACTGCATAAAAAGATACTTGTGCAAATCAAACCTCAAAGTCAACCATCTTTTGTACTCGGTAGGACTACACCTATCAAAGCGCATACCGATCGTTCTGAAGCCGTTCAGCACGACTTTGACGTGTCGATGCTCACGCCGCTCGACTGTCAGTGCGGCGACGCTCACGAAGCCGAGCCAGAGCCCAGCGACATAGACGAGCGAAAGGAGCAGGTACGTGTCTGTTTCTGCTATTCACACTGCAGTGGTAGTGCTAAGAAGAACCTCTTGTGTTTGCTTGCTATTAATTTAGCCAGCTCTGTCTCTGGCATATCAAATATGGCAGCCCTGGCGTCTTCTTGTCCTGGTAACGAACAGCTCGAATGGATCTCATGGTTTATGCATGCAATACGATTCAACTAAAATCACAAAACGTGTTATTCTGTTTTCTTATGCAGAATCCCGTGCCAGTGCTTCTGGCTTTCGTTGCTGTCAATGCCATCTTCGTGACACTCGGAGCACTGTTACGCTTTTTGGCTCATTTGCTGACGCTTCCTGGTCTTCTACTGGTACTAGTACTGGGACTGGTACTGGCTATCCGTCGAGTAGCCTCACTGTTGACTTACCCTGGCCAAATCAAGTTGGTGATTCGAGAAGGTGAAGCCAGCTTTGCTCGGCTGACCAAACACCGGCTTCAGGTTTTCGCTGAGGCAGCTCTGGAGCTAGTGACGGTGCTGGACCCTATTGCCAGCAATAGACCAACGAGACTGCGCTTTCTACAGGCCCACCAGAATTTTACTTTTGCTCTGGAGACGATGGCGCTGCCGATCATGGAGTCACTAGAGATCCTGGAACGCGACGGACGGTTGGGTATCAATGGGGAGAAGTTGCTGAGTGCATTGCAACAGATTGTAATGCTGAACTCGCAGCGGCTGTCCGAGCCCTGTTCAAAGTTGTGCTCAGCTTCGGAAAAGACGTTTGAGCTGCAAAGGTGTGAGCTGTTCAATGAAAGAGAGGCAGCTGAGCCAGTGTCGATGCAGACTACGGATGAGCAGCCAAGCAAGTTGTTAAAAGAGGTCTCAAGTACTATGCTGGAGAAGTCGACGATAATCGACACGGTGTCTCCGGTAGTAGATGCAGGTGTAGAGCCCATGTCCGAAGACGCTGTCAATCCACTGGTCACATTTGCAATGGCAGTGCGACATCTACAGAATGCTATACTGCTGATCGGGAGATCCAAGACGGATGCGCCGGTTGCCAGGAATTTGACTTGGATTGCTAGGGAGCTGTGCCATCGATCGGCACCAGAGGTCGACAGTATTGCTACGCTCGATATGCTTCGCGCTGATTTGATCGTGCGCTTTGTACGTTTGACATAAGAGCAATCGTGCTTGTTTACCTTCATTGTTGCTAATAGATTCGCTGCTGTTGACGTTTGTATGTTCATAGAAAGCCGAGCAGATCTGGATCCCAGGTTACCAGGGTCACCAAGTAGATGCAATGTTAATGCCGCCCGCATCAAGTGGCCGTGATGCTGTCGATCGCCCTGTTATCATGTTGTGCAACCCGAACGGCGGGTTGTACGAGTTTCATCACCTACAAATGGACTGGATCAAGTTCTACACTAGGCGTCTAGACTGCCATGTTCGCGTGTACAACTATCGCGGGTACGGGCGCTGCAAGGGTTCGCCATCTCCTGCGATGCATAATCTGGATGGACTGGCGATTGTAAATTATCTGAAGAACGAGTGTGGATTTGTACAAATAGCAGTCCATGGCGAGTCGATTGGTGGCCTTGTCGCTACATACGTGGCTTGCACATCACCTCACGTGAACGTGCTCATCGCAGACCGTACCTTTGCCACCGTGCCGGCCCTTGCTCAGCGTATGATCGCGAGGTGGGCCGGAACTGTGGTCGATTGGGTCATGCGTTGGGACACGGATAACGTGCAAAAGTACTTGGACGCGCCCTGCGCGAAAATACTGTGTTCTGATCCGTCTGACGAGATTATACTGGATGGAGCCTCGCTCAAGTCTGGCGTTGCACTAAGTATTGAATTAAGCGACAAGACGTTTGACCTGCCCCGCCAATCTGTAGCTGACGGCTCTCCTGCCTCGACGGTATCACCTGTGAAGGCCGTGTGCAAAAGTGGTATCGGCTTTGGTCCCTGTAGTCCAAGCGTTGTCAGCGAAACTGCGAGCCGTCCAGTGGTAGGACAACCGTTGACAGAAAGCATGGTGCTTCGCTTTAGCGAAGCCGTCTTATCTGTTGGCAGACGTGCGCTCGAACACGAAACTGGTCGCGATAACGAACAACGTCGTGGACACGAAAGTGGTGCGCTTGAAGAGACAGAACCGTGTGGCGATACATCTGCTGCTGCTGCGACTGGCTCGAGTGACGTAGCGATTTCTGTGGATGATGCTGTTGCTGCAATAGTCGAAGAGATTGCCGCGGTCCCTGAGACGCAGCCGATACTTCGTGCGGACCTCGTTGAAGCGTCTGCCCCAGTTGCGTCAACTGTTCAATTTCCACGCGAGCTTTTGGCTGTTGTTTGGATGCAACTCGCTCGTTTGGATGGTTGCTGTGGTCAAGTACTTCTTCAAGCTGCAGAAAACGGTGGACACGACAAAATCCGCGCGTGGACTGCGTCACTCTTGACATGGGGTGGTAATTTGGCTCCTGAGCGCCGAAGAGAGCGTTCATTGGAGCCTTTTGAACGAGGTGGTATTCTCATCGTGCCAATCACGATTGCTGAGGTACACGCTGTGCTGCAACATCTTGCTGAGCAGCACACGTCTCTTAAGTATGACTACGATATCAACTTCGTGATGTTGATGGTTGAGTACCTTGATGACGCATTACAGCTAAGATGGCGTCATTTAGATAGCTCCACAACTGAGAAACGCGATATAGCAAGTGAATCAGTGCAAATTGACAAGAAAACTGATACGAGAGCTGCAGCAGAGCAGAGGAAGACGGTCATACCGCTATTTATTAACACGGAGGATGCCAGGCTGGGCTGTCTTCTACCTCTGCGTTGCGGCCACAACAAGAACTATGGAGACACAGAAAAGCAGGCACTGATTGGCTTCTTGCGGCACGTAGGATTCATTGGATCTGTCAAATAGACAAGAACAAGTCGAGTCTGAGAAACTAGCGAAAGATACGTGACCTTGGAAGTGCCACGTCTTGTCACATTTCACAAGGAACGCGTTGTGTCCGTAGATAATTGGTCGAGGCCATCCTGTCGTCGTTGTGCACCGGGCGACAACTATCAGCGATTACCGATCGGTACGTGTGTGTCGCACTCTTCTCATGGACTCGTTATCGTTGATTAACCCGCTATATGCTGACAGGTGATACCGTGGGGAATTCAGGAAAGCTGTGATAATGTGAAGACGACAACGTTCTCCGTTTACTGCTTATGTATCGCACTGCGCTCACATGGAAAGGCAGAAATGGAGCTCCTGTTTGACAACACGGTGCTGAGGTACCAATTGTTGCTTGCCGTTCCAGCGACGTACTGCGAAAACATCCAAGCTAGCAACTGAAGCCTGTCAGAAGAGTGGCTTCTTCCGGCCACAGACCGAAGCCTTCGTATCGATGGTGCACTTTACAAAACAAGCTGTACAAGTCACTTAGATTCAAAATTTCACAGCGTCATTCAGTATTCGTTCACATGTTGAAGACTGCTTGACGACACCATTTGCTCGGTATCGATCACAGCAAGGCATTGAAATGCATCTAGCCACAATGTGAACGTTGGAACTCAACAAAAGTGAACTTGTTCGCATGCTTACGGGTAAGCCACGGTAAAACTTGTAGCTGTTCAGTCGTAAACTACCTCTGTATCATTGATGCAGGCATGAACGAACACGCAGCGTGTCGTTTGTGAGAAGGAAAGGTATACTCAGGTACGTGAACAACCTGCTAAATCTAGTCTGCTAGTAACTAGGCGTTGGCAAAGAACCTGTAGTTAGAGGGGAGCGCTGTAGACATTCTTTTTCTTATTGATTTATAATTCTGTTAAATCCTACACGTACCTGGTCAGGTACATAGCTGTCTCCCCATCAGATCAGGTATCTTCTGATCATGTGGGCCGTGTATCATTCTATCTCTTCTTCCAACACTCCTGTTTGTTGTATCAGATGGTCCATTTACACGGAATCAATTATGCGCAAGATCTCTGGTATAGCCTTAGCCAAGATGTCAGCGCCGGTGAACCCGGGGGCTGTTCATGACTTGACCCAGTTGTGACTGGTGATCTTTGTGGTTCATACTCGAGTAGCTCGATACAAGCGTACATCATGGCACCCTCAACACCCGATGATTCATGTCTGTGTTCTCGTGTCGCGATCGTGCGAAGTTGTCGGATGCATGTGGCCCAAAAACTGGACGTGTTGCCTGTAGTGTCCTTCGAAAACGACTGATACACCGCGTCATTTCGGTCAGTCCACAGCTTAGTTTGAAATAATGTCGCAAGAATAAACCGTATTCGCTTCCACACCCCATCTGCTGCCTCCCAATCCTCTTGAAACCAGTCGGCTAAGGTGTTCTTCCGATGTGCGGGTATGCTGCCGATTCTTCGACTAGCACATGCTCCGATAAAAAATGGCGCGTGACCTGACGAGATGCCCGCTCTCCCGTATAGTGCCCAAGTAGCTTGCTCCACACCGCCACAGCGTATGGGCAGTCCCAAAACAGGTGCACACATGTTTCCACACAACCCACACACCCAGGTCGCTTGCGACACGTGTTGTTTTCCACTCGTACTGCATGGTACAGATTAATTTGGCCTGTCGCAATCCTATATCCTGTCCAGACTTGATAAGTCGTAAGATCTTGACTTCGGTCCCATACTTGCTTTGGTGTTTGACTCAGTGCCGCTTGTTTCCAATTATCCTTCGTTGCCCGTTCTTCCAGACGGTCCAAGATCTTTTTCTTCGGTGGTGCCACACCTGTCGATGATATCGAAAAGCTTGACGCTTAAGTGCCGCCTGGATATACTAATTTGACGTATTGTCAGGAACCGTCCACGGAAATCTGTGTAGCAGCGGGTAAGCCTCGAAAACTAAACCTAGCTCGCACAATTCATACCTTAATGCCTGTTGCACGACAGATGATCCATCGGCAATTACTGGGAAGTGACCGGTACATCTCCAGTGCATGCTATCTGCCTCTTAATACAGCGTTATGGTTTGTGACTGTAACGGGGTGAATCGTTACATAACAATTTACAAGAAATTGTTAATAGAATATAACTATAAGAGTTATATTCTCAGAATATTGTCATAAGGACAAATATTCTGCAGCACTTACGAGTAGTTCCTAATTGGTTGATATAGACCATTATATCAACCAACGAAGACGCGCCACGACAGACGCACGCAATGAGTGGTGAGCAGATAGTTGATTTGCACATTTGTATTTAGACATAGTTAGATGAAGATAAATAGTGATTTATTGCAGACATTAACTATTATAAATACAGTTCTACTTTTTACTTTAACCAAGTACTCGCTTCTTCTTACCGTCTTCCTCTGCGCGTACGAGTGTACGTGAAGTTACGAGGCACCGCCTTATTCTGTCATCAGAATAAGTAGCTTGTACTGTCACCAGTACAAGCTTCAGGGTGCCCCGTTACACCTGGTAGCACTTCGTAGTCCGTCCAAGGACCACGTTCACATCTAACATGAATATGTTGGATGATGAAGATGACCAAAGCTTTCACGCTACGCGTGACGGCTACTCCCATTTGAGCGATGTCGAATGGGATGCGGTTGAACGAATGGGTTCAACCATGGGCATCCATGCTGTTAGCGTCATGCTAGAGGCTCTCAACAGAGATGCCCAACATGCTACTATCGCCAAGTTCATTCAAAATGAACTTGACGCAGAACGCGAGAAAGTAGCCTTGCTTCACCAACAAGGTTCTCAACAAGCAGAGTTGTTGAGAGAACAAGGTGCTCAACAGTTTGAACTGTTGAGACAGCAGCAGGCTGCTGCTGGTGGGTCGATGCACTCGCGTCGACTCGAGACCTTGAAGATTGACATCTCCAAGTATAGGGGAGTCGAAGAGGACTCCCTCTTGAGATGGTTCGTCGAATTGGATGACGCCATAAGGGCGCGTCGCATCGACGACGGGGATATGCAAGTTGCATTTGCCCGGTCAAATCTGGCAGGACGTGCCAAGACTTGGGCACTGGGGCTCAAGTTGCACGACCCATATGCATTTGGGTCATTGGAAGTCTTCAAGTCGCGGCTCAGAAAAACGTTTGAACCGCCTAGAGCTGAGTTCAGAGCTCGAACCGAACTCTTGAAGCTCAAGCAGGGTAAGCGTGATGTGCACGCTTACGCGCAACATATGCGACATCTCACGAGTTGTATAAGTTCCAATCCGGTGGATGAACACACGTTGGTTTCGGTGTTCATGCAGGGTCTTGCGGATGGTCCCGTCAAGACTCACCTGTTCCGGCTTGAACTAGATTCACTAGAACAAGCCATTTCCATTGCGGAGCAGGAAGACTTCAGTCTGAGACAGGCTCGCGCCAGCTCGACATCATATCGTCAACCGAGACGATATGACAACGGAGGTCCAGAGCCGATGGAACTCTGTTATGTAGAGAGCGAGAAGGCTCGCTCTACAGACTACAAGAAGTTGCAGAAATGCAACAGATGTCAAAAGACAGGACACTACGCTTACGATTGTAGTGCCCCTCGTCCAGTGTCTCGCAACACTGGGCGTAGTGACCGTCCACCCATGAGAAAGGGGCAGGGACGCGGGTCCGCTGTTGGTGCAAAGACGCAACAACGGGATGGACCGTCAAAAAACGGACAGGATCAGTAGGTGCGGAGCACCCTACTGATCCAGCAACGTCAAGAGAATTTGTAGGCCTCTTGATGAAGGTTGCTCCCAACACACAAACGTTGTGTGTTGCTGCTCTAGGTAATGAGGTCTCACTCATTACCTTGAAACTCGAAGTGACAAAAAGTTGTCCCTTCGAGCTCTAGTCGATTGTGGGGAGTCCAACAATTTTTTGCGACGCCAATCGCTAGAAGATGGTCACTTTAAGTTCAGTGAATGTGACACACCTCCTACGAGGATGACGGTACGTCTTGCGACAGGCGCATCCGTAACCGTCATGAAGCGTATAGTGAAGACCCACTATACGCTAGAAGATACCCAATATGACGATGACTTTATCGTATTGGACTTGGATGACAAATTTGATGTCATCCTTGGAATACCGTGGCTCAGAAGGTACGAACCACGGGTAAACTGGCAACATCGAACAGTAACGATGACTTCCGCTTTTTCATCAGATGGCCATCTGATGAACGTTTGGAGCGTCCACAAGCGTGTGGATGTACTACGAGTGAATGCGATGGCTTCACTTGTGGTACGGTCGTTAGTACGACTGCACAAAACCTTAGTGTACCAAACGGTTACACTTCGGAGCAAAGTTCCGGCGGCTGTGAGGAAACACAGGCTGCGCCGAAGGTCCACCACTAGAATAAGTCGGGTGGACTGGGACAAAGATGTATCCCTAGCGGGGAACATCTAGAAGAGAAACAATCGATCGCTCAGGTTAAGCGAAACGATAATCCTAGATCGACTGGAGAGTCTTTCGTAGAGGATCTCGCTGTGGTTGCGCAACCCCAGCTAGAGGAAGTAAAGGGAATAAGTCCCAATATTACAAATACGGCGGAAATAAGTTCCCCGAAACCCGCGGGAATAAGTCCCCGGGAAGCCGAAGGAATAAGTCCTTCGAGGCCTGAGGGAATAAGTCCCCAGGAAATGACAGAGACATTGAATGTCATAGTCAATAACGGATCAAGTGTAGGCGCTTATACACTTGATCTTATTGCGCCTCCGAAGTTAACTTCGGAGATCACTCAGTTGCCAACGCTCGACCACAAAAGGTTCTTGCGTGATCTGCGTAGTGGCAAAGTCAAGCAGATCTGCATACTCGTCGCTGACGACGAGTGTGTAACCGACATAAGGTCAGCAACAGTGTTCACTGAGAACGAGAGAGTTCTCAGTAGTTCATCTATGGACGAGAGTGTCCTAGATGAAAAGACACGAATTGAGCGATATGACTCCCAATCATGGGAATCGCTCAAGAAA